TAGGTTAATGTGAGAGGTTAGAATATGCTTCTTGCCAGCTATTTTCCTTTCAGTCTTACAGAAACTGAAACCCCAAGTCAGAAGTACTGTAAATCACTTGTTCCTACTGGACCATCACCTTAGTCTGTAAGTAAAAACTGAATCTGTTGACATTCCTGTGGGCATTATAGCTATGCCTTCTAGCAAAAGCCCCAGTGAGCTGGCAAATCCTGAGCTGAACCCATTAAAAAGCTGTCTGTCTCATGCCACTCATGCTGTAATAATACCTGCACATTACACGCTTGAACACAAATATTTAGCCTACACATGACATCATTCTCCTCCCCCTGGGTGTAACAAACTCAGTTCCTGCTATACAGTAGTAAGGGTCCAATCATGTACAGCTGTATTGCAAAGCATTTCCACTGGAAAGCACAGAAATTTAGCCATGACCAGTAAGCCATTCACCTTGCAGTTTTTAGGACTGGGTTTTATGGCATTCAAATGCACAGAAATGATGGGATGGAACGGTAGTCCCTGTGCAGCCCTGCCTGCTGCGGCTCCTGACCCTGGCTGCTGCTGCTGCTGCTTCACGAGGCAAGCAGAAAAAGAAAAAGAAGGAAGGTAACCTATCACCAAAACCCTTCTTCAAGTGCTACGTAAAATGCATTAAATACACATGGAAGTTTATGTTCATAAAAATGTAAACATTACAAAGACATGGCTACAGATTAATGTCACGCTATACAACTCTACTCATCACTCCAATCTGTTAAGAACCTGGAAGCCATGGTGACATCCTTCTTGATGAAACTCTAATTACTAATTGACTGGTAAGTTACTTTACTGATTATAACTTGTTAGGTGTTTGTAAGAGAAACATTGACTGGTTTGAATGAACACACATGTCTTCGTAAGCACCAGCAGAAGCAGCAGACCAATGAGCGAAAAGGACAGCCTGTATGTCACAGGGCACTGTCCCCGGAACACCATTCCCCAGCAGTGAAATTGCAGAACATGCTGTTTATATTGAGATCAAAAGGCCTGCACTCCG